CGTTTTCTACTAAGTTTTAATTTGCATATTTCGCGAACGAATTTTCCGGAAAATCACACACACACATGCGTGCAAACAAATACAAACAACACACACGCACATCCTTCGCTTCACCATAACGCATTCTTATGCAAAAACCCCAATAAATTTCTAGTTCCTTGAGGAACTGGAAATTTGTCTCTCGCATCGTGAAATGGGGCATTTGTTCCTATGGTGGCGTAACTGCACCATCCTACAAATTTTAAATGTTGCAAACCTTCCAGTAATACGCTTCTACTTTTTGGTGATTATGTTCGGCCCATTCGGCAACTCGATCCAAATATTCAATAAAATATGTTTTACATATATGCATATCCTGATGTCCCAGCGGGCATCCTGTTGTGTGCATATGATATTTCAAACAACTCCAAAGCTGTTTCGAAACAGTAATTTTGGGACACTTTAATTTGATTTTATACCTCGTTTCTGAGTGTTAGAAAATGCGGCTCCGTGCGGCTCCTCACTGCGTTCCGCGGGTGCGATTGTATCAACTTCTAAGCTTGTTCTCCAGGCCGTAACTTTTTGTTTTGGTTGAACAGCTTTTTGCTCTTCCGGATCTTCAACGATGACGGGCGTGTTTGCACTAGCTTCGACAACTTCGTCTTTTTTGGGCTTGTCCATCATTTGAACAGTTGCATTCTTCAGCAACAAATTATTCGGGCTTAAACAGTTCGCGCGTATATTGCATACTGTCAAGTGGTCCGGATGAGAATCATGCTTGTGTACATGCTCCTCACTTTCGTACCTTCCGCCATTGATAAGAAAATTGAACATAACACAGCCGTCCAGTAATGTATCCTGCAATTGGCTTCACTTTGTCTGGCGCCAAATTTCCTTTTTGCTGTTTGTTTTTCAGGCACAGACGACTTGATATTTCTTTTATACGCAGCTTTTTAAGAAAGATTGGGATAATCCCTTTTAATAATAGCAAGACTCCGGTGTCAAGTGCCGATTTACCTTTTTTCAAGGGTAGCTGGGCATAAACTAAAAGCAGCTTATTATCACATTCAACATCACATTCAACTTGTTAGCACGGCAATGTTTTCATGCGTTTTGTGTTGCATCAGTATACAAAACCCAGTCTGTAACGCAACAAGCGAGCTGATACGATTATGCGTTTTTGCACAGTTTCTTGCGGATTTTTAGTGCTACTGTGCTATCTGGCCGTGGTGCTTT